CTCCTGGGCTCAAGTGATCCTCTTGCCTCTGCCTCCTGAGTACTACAGGGATGTACCTGATGTGCTACAGGCATGTGCCAACACACCCGGTTAACTTTAATTTTCTTTTTTGCAGTGACAGGGGTCTTGCTATGTTACCCAGGCTGGTCTTGACCTCCTGGCTTCAAGCAATTCTTCCCAAAGGATTGGACTCCCAAAGTGTTGAGATTACAAGCACAAGCCACCACCACACCTGGCCTGTACCATTATATTAAAGCTGAGTTTTAGTCAAGCAAGCCTTTGGAGTCAGACTGCCCTGGTTCAAATTCCAGCACCAGAGGAGTGGGGTGGCTCATATTTGTAATCCCAGCACTTTGGGAGCCAAGGCAGGTGGATCATTTGAACCCAGGAGTTTGAGACCAGCCTGGGCAATATAGTGAGACCCCAGGGGTCTCCACAAAAATTAAAAAATTACTCGGGCACAGTCACACATATCTGTAGTCCTAGCTACTGGGGGTTGGGAGGGAGGCGCTGAGGTGAGAGGACCACTTGAGCCTGGGAGATCAAGACTGCACTGAGCACGGATTGCGTCCCTGCACTCCCAGCCTAGCAACAAGGCAAGCCCCTGTCTCAAACAAACAAATCCCAGCACCACTATTACCATCTATGAGACATTGGACAAATTCCTAAAGTTCTCTATGCCTCAGTTTCCTCATCCATAAAATTAGGATGAGGCTGGTACTTTATATATCTCATAGAGTTGTTGTCAGGGTTAAATGAATGAATTTATTGAATACACTTTACTGTAGCTATTATCATTGGCATTGATCTGTATAGGTATTGATTTGTATAGGTATTTGCTGAATACTTATTAGTTTGCAGTTTTGTTTTAGCATTTTGGAATCCATAATTTATTTCTATTTTATTTCTGAGATTTATAATGGCTCATAAGCCTTTGAAAATTCCTAGGCCCTAGGCACTTCAAAGGCCCCCAGCCCAACATCCCAAGCAGCCTGACACCAAGACAGGCATGCATAGCTAAAAAGATCCCTAGCCTCAGAGGCCTTGGGGCTGAGGGGAATCCTGGGAATGTGGAGGGCTGGGACTGAAATATTCAACCCCCATCCCCACTTTTATGAGCAGTAGTTTCCTAACTGGAGTGGGTAAGGGTATCTGAAATAGATGCTGGGCCAGGCACGGTTGCTCACACCTGTAATCCCAGCACTTTGGGAAGCCAAGGCAGGCAGATCACCCTGAGGTCCGGAGTTTGAGACCAGCCTGGCCCAAAGTAGTGAAATCCGGTCTCTACTAAAAATACCAAAATTAGCCGGGC